GGGGGGGGGGGGAGACCTGACACAAAGTAGAAACCAATTCATAATCTGGACTCAGACAATCAAATTCTCGTGTAAATCTGAGCTAAAAAGTAGAGAGGGAACCTCCAAAGCAGTGGTGGGCAGTGGAGCTTTAAGATCCATTTTCCCTGTTTAGCACCAACAACAAGGTAAAGTCTTATGTAAATTGAACATTTGGGGAGCAGTAATTATGATGAAATCGGTTCTTAGGGAAAATGGAGCAGAGGCACAAAATTGATATGAGACAAGAGACTAAGCAGCCCTAGAATGAGAGGGTCATTATCCCTGACACAACCTTTCTCCTCAAATATACCCTACACAAACATCTAAGCTCTCTGGCCAGCCTCCTTACTTTGGCTAAATCACACTCATTTTTTTGGGTGTGTGTGTCTTGATTTAGAAGGCTCCCCAGAAAGCTTCCCCTGCCACCTGAAGCTGTGGGTGCCCTCCCATATATACCTACAGCATCCCATAGTGTTCAGATCTTAGCATTCATCACCATTTATAACCACCACCATTTGGATACTTATTTTCCAGGTGTCAAATATTCTCTATTATATGTGGTGTGTATTATATATAGGGTGACCCCAAAAAGAATAATTATAAATGCAGTGTTTATTAAAATACACTTCATTTTCAAAATTGAACTATCAGCTGTTAAAGTGTGTATACATTTTGGGGGGAATACATATATATCCGGTTGAAGTTAGATATTCCAGTTTCATTTATTGTTATCAGTCTTCCCTTTTTACATAAGAAGGAGCTCAAGATTAGATACCTTACCCAAGATCACATAGCTTGTGGCATTGAAGTTTGAGGACATACATGACCAACTTCAAAGTTTGTGCTCTTAGGCGTTGTACCTGCTCCTTCCTCTAGACTTTAATCAGGTGTCTACCTTCCACTCCAGCCTCAATACTATGATCTTGCCTGTCTCTTGATCACTGTATTATCCTGTCGGGTGGTTGCCTGTCTTATGTTTGTTCTCAAAAGTATTTGTTGAATGAATGTGGCTGAAGATGAGTTAAAAAAAAGTTATTTGTTGGGCCAATCAACTTTATAATAGAACTGGGTGAATGATTCTGGGTCAAACTTCCTGTTACAACCAAAAGTCCTGAACAAAGAGAGAATTTATAAAACACATAACTGGTAGATCAGATATGCACAATACCTGATTGTACTCAGTGTTGCAAATTCCAAATCTATAACTCTGTGGTTCTTAGCCCATCCCTTGTCCAAAGCCTGGTCCTAAGCTGTTAAGGAACCACCTGGAATCTTTGCTTGGCCTCTTCAGTGTTATGCAGCTACACGTGCCAGCCTGGCTCTCCCTGAACACAGACACTGTTAGAGCTCTCCTCACTCTAGAAGCTGGTGTCCAGGGAAGCTAGCCTGGCTGTCTTGTTTTGTATACTTTATAAATAACCCCAAATGCAGAGTTGCCCACGCGGCCTGTCCACCTCCGGTCCTCTGTGCTCTAAGAAGTGGAGGGAGGTGGACAGACAAGCGTTGTCCGTCGCTGCAGACATGCTTAGTCAGCACCAGCACTAGCAGGCTGAGCGGACAAAAGTACCTAGCACTCAGTACCTCCCGACCGTTTCTGTAAACGACACAGGATCCCTATCACAGGCAAAAAAGACATCCATACCCTCAGCCAAATTCACCAATGACCCCGCTCCGTCCTACTGTGCAAAACCTGGGGCGGTTCAAGCAGGCTGGTTGTTTTTGAGCCGCTTTTAGCCAAAAGCAAAGCTATCTTCAGAAATGTTCTTTGCCCCCGCGGCCTTTTCAGGCGCTAATGACCGAGAGGCCACGGAACGCGCAGCCGGGGACCCCGGCCGCCGCCGGGAATAAACTGGCACCCCTAGAAATAAAGCCCCGCAGCCAGTGCGTCGCCGCGGCACGTGGGATTGGCGGCCGCGGCCGTGACGTGACCTGGGCGGGCCGAGTCGGTTTGCGACAGCGGCCGCGGTCCCGGCGGAGGATCCCAGGGAGCCCCTAGCGCAGCGCCTGGGCCGGC